GGTTATCTTATTAGCACCCTGTTGGTGGACACTTAAGTAATTACCAGGGTTTTTTCTCTTCTGTTTCTGTGGCCTTGCTGTCTTTCTTCTGCCTTGCATTTCTATTAACACATTGGTTTCGTTTCCTGTCCTTAATGATTCTGAGAAACTGGATTCAGCGCCACTTTCATGGAGACCATCACCTTTGTATGTACTTCCTGATAGATCCAGACAAGCATAGTATGTTAAATGTACTCAACAAGACCTTATCTTTTCACCCCACAAACTCTTTGTGATTAGCTTGTGATATTGATCATGAACCACCTGATAAGCCTTTCAACCTCAGCATCCACTTCTTTAAGTTGCAGGGACCTTGAGGAGCACGGACTCAGTTTGGCAGACATCATATCGGTCATCTGGGCCTCTGTCACTTCAGGTTGCCCACACGGCTGACGCTGATCAGTGCTCTCGCAGCCGGGACAGAGCTCAGGAGTGTCCTTTTGTTTTCAGACCACAGTGGCCTCCTTTTCCTTTGAATGCCCTTGCTCTTCCTATGTGATTTTATTCCCACTATAATGTAGAGACATTTGAAGATCAGTTGAAGCACATTAACTTCAAATATATCATAATTAGCTCACTCCGTTTTGGTGTGGCTGTATGAAGTATATCTGGTTTCATTTCTGGAAACCTTAACTGTCAGAAGGTTGCTTTCTCACACTTGGTCATAAAAAATAGGAAGCTCCTTCCCAACTTAAGTCTTTAGAGACTTCAAGGTGACCTTGACCACTGTTGTTGCTTCAGCTGCATCTTCTGCTGTCTGTTATTTCTGCCTTTCTTCATGTTGACATTACCATGCTCTGCCTCTGAGGTTTGGTTTCCCTTTCTGTTGTTCCTCTGTCTTCGCTCTAATCCCCCCACTCTTCCTCTCTGTGTGTGTGTTTTCTGTAGAGCTTGCTTGTTTCTTTGACTATTTCAGTGTATGCCCCAGCAGCATAATTTACCATTCTCTTTTGTTATTTCCTCAGGTGGTTAGTTGATTATTCGCTCCTTATTCTGGCAATAAATAAAATTACATTTAACAATGTTTCCGAGAAATATCCTCTGTTTCCTTTTAAATTTTCAAAATATTGAAATGTTAAAGGTCATTTTTAAATTGTGTTTTTTTCCCACTGTTTACAACATTTCCAAGGCTCAACCTCTAAATTATTTTTCTCTTTGATCACTTTATTACTGCTTAAAAAATTCAACAAATATTTAGTAAATCACTGTCATGTACTGGATACTGTAGGCCCTGAAGACACAGACCAACTCCCTGTCCTCTAGGAATTCTAGGGAAAGCAGGCGATATATGTGATACTTTATTTATTTATTTATTCATTCATTCATTCATTCATTCATTCATTCATTGGAGATGTAGTCTCACTGTGTTGCCCAGGTTGGAGTACAGTGGCATGATCTCAGTTCACTGCAACCTCCACTTCCCGGGTTCAAGCAATTCCCCTGCCTCAGCCTCCCAAGTAGCTGGGATTACAGGCGCCTGCCACCACACCCGGCTAATTTTTGTATTTTTAGTAGAAACAGGGTTTCATCATGTTGACCAGGCTGGTCTCAAACTCCTGACCTCAAGTGATCTGCCTGCCTTAGCCTCCCAAAGTGCTGGGATTACAGGCATGAGCCACCGCGTCTGGCCATAGATGGAACATATGATCTAGAGAAAATGAAACAGGAAGAGGGAGCAGGGAGTTCACAATGGGATATAGTTTTAAATAAGGTCGTCAGAGAAGATGCTCGTTGAGAAGAAGCCATTTGTACAAAACCTTGAAGGAAATGATGCAGCAAGTACTGGGGATTTATTGTCTTGGGCATAAAAGGGAAAAATGTCTTGGGCAGGTGGGAGTAGCAGTGCTCCTCCCAGCCAGGAGCCACCTCTCAGGAGGTGCATGCCCAGAAGAGCAAAGAGGCCACCATGGCTGGAGTGGAGCAAGTGGAGGAAATAGGTCAGAGAGACTGCCAGGGACCTTTTAAAGCATGAAGCCTTTTAAGCCATTGCAGGGATTTTGGCTTTACTCTGAGATGAAGAGCCACTGGACAGATTTGAGATGAGGGAGTCATAGATCTTGGGCTATGATGTGTTATTGTCACATATTCTTTAAAGAGGGCGTATTACTAAGCCTTTGTTCTAGCCCTTCTTGCAGTAAATATTTTCTGCCCAATTAGGAGGAAGAACTAGTGATAAATGACCCAAATTTTCTCTTCTCTCCCTTCCATACCCCAGATCTGTTGTGTAAATGCGAAGAACATTATTACTGTTAATGTAATTATGTATTAAGCCACATCTCTAAGTAACCAAAAGCCATCAGTAATTTCAGGCTTTCTGCAAAGTCTCTCGATCCTGATTTAAAGTATTTATTTACAACTTATTTTGGTACTTCTTCCAAAAAAAAAAAAAGATGAGAAGGTGAGGTTTAAAATGAAAAACATTTAAAGGCTATGAAAATAAAACTTAAAAAATTAAAATTGTGTAGGAAGAAGTAACAATCCATATAGATGACTATTGTGAAGTGATTTACCACCCAGTTTACCCACAGGCGGAATTCATGGTAATCAGACTCAGAAGGAAAACAACAAATAATTATCTTTTTCTGATTTTTCCAGAGCATAGCACTAGTCCTTATACTTCTTACTCTAGTGCAGGCTATTCTGTGAACTATGTTTCATAACATCCTTTTTCTTCACAAAACAATTACTTTCTAAAAATAAAGTGGTCAATGTAAATTTCAACTTATTTCTACTAAGTGGCTTGTTTATTTAGGGGGTGTCGTTTCTGCTGAAAGAACCAACTTCCTGCTAAAATTGTTAATTCACTCACTGTAGGCATTAAAATCAAGGTTGATGGGCCAGGCGCGGTGGCTCATGCCTGTAATCCCAGCACTTTGGGCGGCCAAGGTGGGCAGATCACCTGAGGTTGGGAGTTCAAGACCAGCCTGACCAACATGGAGAAACCCTGTCTCTACTAAAAATACAAAATTAGCCGGATGTGGTGGCACATGCCTGTAATCCCAGTTACTTGGCAGGTTGAGGCAGGAGAATCGCTTGAACCCAGGAGGCAGAGGTTGCAATGAGCCGAGATCATACCATTGCACTCGCCTGAGCAACAGGAGCAAAACTCCATCTCAAAAAAGAAAAAAAAAGAAAAAAGAAAATCAAGGTTGATGTTACCTTTTTTTTTTTTTTTTTTTTTTTTTTTTGAGGCGGAGTCTCGCTCAGACTGTTGCTGGAGTATAGTGGCATGATCTCGGCTCACTACAACCCCTGCCTCCAGGGTTCAAGTGATTCTCCTGCCTCAGCCTCCCCAGTAGCTGGGATTACAGGCATCCGCCACCATACCTGGCTAATTTTTTTTGTATTTTTAGTAGAGACGGAGTTTCATCATGTGGCCAGGTTGGTTTCGAGCTCCTGACCTCAAGTGATCCGCATGTCTCAACCTCCCAAAGTGCTAGAATTATAGGCGTGAGCCCCCGCACCCAGCTGATTTTACATTTTCGATTGTCTGTTTCACTAGATTGTCTGCTACCTACCTTGTATCCTCTAACACAGTGTTCAGTCCCTTACCTCCAACTCTAAAATCTAAAAAACTCTGAAAACAGAAGTTTATGAAAAGTTAAGTTCCAAACTCATTCAGAAGTAAAAACTGGAACTGAAATAAAGACAATTTAAAAATCTTCGTTTGTCCTACTTGTGAATATTTGCATGTTTTGCTACAGAAGTGGTAATAGGTTCAATTATGGGTGCCCTGCAGATTCTGCTGGGAGTTATGTAATGTTTAGTATATGCATCTTATTACTTTTCCAAAATTTGAAAATATAAATTCCAAACCACATCTTCCTCCAAATATTTCAGAAAAGGGATCGCGGGCTTGCAGTAGCCAATCCTGGAATAATAATGATTGGAATAATGTAGGTGCCTAGTAAATGTGAATTGAAGTTTGATTAATATGAGATACTTAGAAATTAGAAACATTTCTGCACCTGGGTCTTGTGACCTTGAGACCTCAGAAAATAAAATAGATAATTCAGTCTTTAGAAGCAGGACACCACAATTGTTCTCTTAAGGTAGTGGTAATTGGTCTTAGGTCAGGTTAATAAATCCAGAAAGAATGAAGTGTTATTCTAGCAGTCAAAATTGTTCTTGTTAGTATCCTAGAAGGTGCTTTTTGTGCCATTCACATATTTTTCATGTTGTCTCCGTATCTTTACTTATCACTTTGTATCTTTTTGGTTTTTGTTCAACATTTTTTAAAGGTGTCACATCAGCTTTTTTAATACTGGTGATTTAATTGCAAAAGCACACATAAACAGTTTGAAAGGTGTGAGAAGAAATTCGCAAGTCACATGGGGAAACAGCAACAAAGCTAGCATTCAGTCTGGAATGCATCCACTGTGCCAAACAAACTCAACTGCTAGTGGGTCAAATGGTGTATCCTGAGATTGAGTGAAAAATACAAGAAATGCTTGTTTCATACAAAGGATGCAGTGGGAAGTATCAAGATGAATTGAATATAGGCTATACCCTCACAAAGCTCAAGCTTAATAGGGAAAGCAGAACATGAATATAAAATAATAAACTACATAGCAGAACACACCAGACATCATGTGAAGATGAGTGGGGATAGGTTAAATGGAGAAGATGGACTTGCAGAATACATGGATGAGAAGGACAGAATCTTCGCTGTCAAGCAGTGTTGAGTAGTAGAGATACACATAAACACAAAAATTATTATGGAAAATTGTAAATAACATAATAGGAGCTAAGGAACCATAGATGAGTATAGTAATCCTTGGGGAAGGTAGGCAGGAATTGATCTTCAAGCTGGTCTTGAGGGACACAAGAGTTTGTCCAGAAGGTTTGGAGGTAGGTCAAGGAATCTCTTCTGGGCAGAGTAAATAAGATGCATGTTGTTTGAAGTATCACTAACAGGACAGTTACATACAATAACTCTTTATATTTTATTGTCATTGCAGGTGAATCAAACATCCCTTCTGGAACAATACAGAGTAGGAAAGGTTTGCAGAATAAGAGTCAGTTTAGGACCATCGCACCAAAAATTGTGCCCAAAGTCCTAACATCCAGAATGCTGCCATGTCATTCACCATCACGCTCTGATCAGGTGAATCTGGGACCCTCCATCAACTCTAAGCCACTGGGGATGTCCACCCAGAACTATGCTCTGATGCAGGTTGCTGGCCAGGAGGGGACATTTTCTCTTGTTGCTTTGCCACATGTTGCCTCAGCTCAGCCAATTCAGAAACCCAGAATGTCCCTACCTGAAAACCTGAAACTTCCTATTCCTCGATATCAACCCCCAAGAAATAGCAAAGGATCAAGAAAGAAACCCATCCTGATCTTTCCTAAGAGTGGCTGTAGCAAAGCTCCTGCCCAAACCCAGATGTGTCCTCAGGTATCCCCTTCCCCACCTCACCACCCTGAACTCCTGTACAAACCCAGCCCATTTGAGGAAGTGCCATCACTAGAGCAAGCCCCAGCCAGCATTGGCACAGCTGCGCTGACTAATGGAAGTGACCATGGGGACTTGAGACCACCAGTGACCAACACCCATGGCAATCTGAACCCTCCTGCCACCCCAGCATCATCCACACCAAAGGGGCCTGCCAAGCAGGACCTCACAGGTCTTTCAGGGAAACCACACTTTGTAAGCAAGGTAACATCTAGTAAGCCTTCTGCTGTTGCCAGTGAAAAGTTTAAAGAACAAGTTGATCTTGCAAAAACCATGACCAGTTTATCACCAACCATTCTTGGCAATGCAGTTCCGTTGATCTCTTCAGTCCCCAAAGGGAAACTGCCAATCCCACCCTACTCAAGAATGAAGACAATGGAGGTTTACAAAATCAAATCAGATGCTAGCATTGCAGGTTTTTCTTTTCCAGGACCTAAGGCCGACTGTGATAAGATATCCTCCACCACAGAAGGCTTTAATGCAGCCACCAAGGTGGCAAGCAAGCTGCCTGTTCCACAAGTGTCACAGCAGAGTCCCTGTGAAAGTGCCTTTTGTCCACCCACCAAACTTGATCTCAACCACAAAACAAAACTGAACAGTGGAACCGCAAAGAGAAAAGGAAGGAAACGGAAGGTACCAGATGAAATTTTGGCATTTCAGGGAAAAAGGAGGAAATGTGTCATTAATAAGTGTAGAGATGGTAAAGAAAGAGTAAAAAATGATCCCCAAGAATTCAGAGACCAAAAGCAGGGGACCCTGAAAAAATATCGTAGCATTATGCCCAAACCTATCATGGTCATACCCACTTTGACCCCCCTGGCTTCTCCAGCTACACTACAATCCCAGATGCTTGGGGGCCTAGGACAGGATGTTTCGTTAAATAATTCACTCACTCCTAAATATCTTGGCTGCAAGCAAGACAACAGCTCTTCCCCTAAGCCCAGCTCCATGTTCAGAAGTGGATTCTCTGGCATTAAGAAGCCTTGGCACAGATGTCATGTCTGCAACCACCACTTCCAGTTCAAACAGCACCTTCGAGACCACATGAATACACACACCAACAGACGGCCTTACAGTTGTCGGATTTGTCGCAAGTCCTACGTACGTCCTGGCAGCCTGAGCACACACATGAAACTTCATCACGGTGAGAACCGTCTGAAGAAACTCATGTGTTGTGAGTTTTGTGCAAAAGTGTTTGGCCACGTCCGAGTCTATTTTGGCCATCTGAAAGAAGTGCATAGGGTTGTGATCAGCACCGAGCCCGCCGCCAGTGAACTGCAGCCAGGAGACATACCAAAGAACAGAGACATGAGTGTGCGAGGCATGGAGGGATCACTGGAGAGGTGAGTGCCGATGGAATGGAAACCTGGCAAGAGAGTCTGTTTTGATTTGGGGAAGACGGGAAGATTTCATGTTGAGAAAGGAGAGTTTATAAAACATCTCTTGGATTAAGATTTCATAAGGTAGTTATCTATACCTCCTAGTTCTGTGAAGAATAATCTCGTTTCTCTCTGGTTTCTGATCATCCATATTTGGAATTACCTTAACCACTCTAGTAAATTATTGTATATAGTTCCAGTGGTCTTTACAAGTAATTTCCCCCAAAATCACATCCACAGAATTTGCACTATTTTAAACAGCATCATTTGCCCCAAAATGCGGCATGACCCATGGTGGGGACTCAGAGTGGGTGTGTCTGTCATGTTGGCCCTACCTTAAGGTGCCCAGACCCCATCCTCTTCGTTTGCCATGTTTTTCCCATCAGGTCAGGTTCTCTCTTTCTGGAGTCATTCCTTTTTGCAAGCCCTGCTTCCTAGTATTACTGTTACAGGATCCTTGGGGTGTCATTTCACCAGCTGGAAACCTCTGTGGCCAGTGGCACCTTGGCCTGAGTTTTGCTCTGGCCCATTAGGCTCGTTCCATGCACTCGGCCTGGCAGGCTGCACTCAACTCACGCTACTGGCCTAGATCCCATGCCTTCCAAGGGCAAGCCAGGCACAGAGTGGTGAGGGATGTGTGAGCGAGCATGGGGTCTGGCCACTGCACATAGGCAGGCACGCCGGCTGCTGCTGCTGCAGGCCAGGCAGCTCCAGATGCCACCTCCCTGCAAGGCTGTGTCTGGACCAGGCACATCACAAGCAGCTGCCACAGCTGGCACCGGGAACATGATGTTGCTTGGAAGCTTGGAGACTCCAGGAACTGCATGGCCCCAAGGAGGGAGTCACTGCCCTGGCTCAGGGGGCTCCCAGGTCAGAGCTCCCCAAAGGACCGCAGCTCTTCTCTTCACCTGCAATGTGGCAAGCAAAGGGCGTGTTTCAGCCTGTTTGTGTTACAGCTCTTAGCCCCACCATTTGGCAGGTCCCGAGTTCTTGTCCTGCGTTCAGGAAGAATGAGGTACACAGAGAAGTAGAGGGTGAGCAAGGTAAAGAGGAACTTTATCGAGTGATAGAACAGCTCAGAGTTGAACTGCAGGGGGCAGTTCCTTGCAGCCAGGTTGTCCCAACTAACATTCAGCTCTTAGCAGAGAGGGTAGCTCTTCTCTGCAGGCCAGTCATCCCCATCATCTCTTCTGCTCTCAGCAGAGAGGGTAGCCCCTCTCTGCCACTGGTCATCCCATTGTCTCTTCAAATCTGGCTAAGTCCGGGGCTTTTATGTGCCTCAGAGGAGAGGAAGTGGCATGCGGTTGGTCCATGGGTGGTCGTGGACAGACCCAGAAAAGCACCACAAGTTCCCACTCCAGTCCATGTGGCCGGCAGCCTGGCCCCCAGGATTCAGGGCTTCCCCGGCTTGATGGCGGGGCTTCACCAGGGACCTCCCCCTTTCTGCCCAGAAGCTTCTTTGCCTCCTACTTCTGTTGATGGCACCCAGGCTGTTCATGCTGAGGGGGCACCTGCAGGCCGGCACCGAGCTGTCCTCAGCGCCCCTTCGTCAGCCTCCCTCCCATGCTTATCGGCACCCAAAGTCTGGAGCGGGCCAAGGTGGTAGGGGGTGGGCATATCAGCACTGCCTCAAGCGTGTGCACACCCAGCCAGGTTACAACAGTGCCCAGGCTCAGCCCCAGCCTTGCTTTGAGATTGGAGCAGGTGCTGACAGTAGGGAGAAGCCAGTCAGCAGGAGCAGGTGCTTCTTGAGTCTGTAGGGGGAAAGGGGCCTTCCCGGACCCCTGAGAGCGCAGAGATGCCTGGATCTGCAGCCCCAGCAGGGTAACTACAGTGATGCCTGGGAGGGCAGGAGGACTGCTGCCTGCTCCCAGCTTCCAAGAGCACAGGGTGCCTGGGTCGCAGCTGCAGGCTGTTGCGCTTGGGAAGCTCCCACCCCGCCAACTTGGAAAGGGCAGGGCTCCTGCTTGTCCCCAGCTCCCCGGCTCCATGAAGCGTGGCACCGTCCCTGGCCCCGCCCCTGGCCCAGCTCCGCCTCAGGGCCCCTCTCTATCCGCTCCTGCATGCCCTAGTGTGCTGTTTCCCCTGCCAGCAGGTGACTCAGCCTGGCCCCATTGCAGTGGCTCTCAGAGCGGCAGGTTTCAGGGACTGCCCACCTCCTCTCCACGTTTCCCCAGCAGCAACAGCAGGCAAGGTGCAGGTGGCGCAGTGGCCCTGGCCAACCCCGCACAAATGAACCCGACACTCAGGGCCAGCCCCACAAGTCCCCGCTGCACCTTCAGCCGGGTGCCCACTGGCTCCTTTCTGAATGTGAAATCTTCCCCTTCCCCAAATCAAAACAGACGCTCTTGCCAAATGTAGTTTGGACATTGTACCTAAAAATCAAAATCTAACTATAGGAAAAGAAGGAAGAAGTGAGGTTTCATGGTTCATTAGTGAAAGGCACAGAGGTCTTAAAGGGGACAGAAACGTCTGAGAAAAAGGAGAAACTACAGAAAAGCAAGGAAGAAATAGGATAGGCACCCTTTATTTTTACTGAACATAACAGAGTGAGCCAAAATTGAATAGAAGGTATTGGTGCTCAAGGTTAGGGAGAGCCACAGTGGGTAGGGTGGGACCGTTACCTTCAACAGAACTGAGGGTGTTCCTGTGCCCTTCACGCACTCTTACATGACTCTTCCACGTGATTGCTCCTGTCCCTGTGGTAACCAAAGATGAGTTAGCTCACCTGGGACAGATGCATGAAGAGAAGGACTGTTGATTAAAAGGACCCTGGTAGCTGGAGAAATGTGTGGCCGCAAGCAGGAGTGACAGTTGGTATTCACCGCGGTCCTTGCGGAAGGTCTTCCCAGGCGCTCTCTGTTTACCCCAGCCCTTGTCTTTCTCGTCAGTGTATGTTTTAGATCCCTGAAGGCTGAGAGCTAAGAGGAACGGTTCCAATTGCATTTTTCCATGAAACTTATGTACACTATTTTTGCCCTTTTCAGAGAAAACAAGTCCAACCTGGAAGAAGACTTCCTTCTAAACCAGGCAGATGAAGTCAAATTACAAATCAAATGTGGCCGTTGTCAGATTACTGCTCAGTCTTTTGCGGAAATAAAGTTTCATTTACTTCAAGTTCACGGAGAGGAAATTCAGGGCAGGCTACAAGAAGGGACCTTCCCAGGAAGCAAGGGGACTCAGGAAGAGTTGGTGCAGCACGCTAGCCCTGACTGGAAAAGGCATCCTGAGAGAGGGAAGCCGGAGAAGCTTCATTCCTCCGAGAAGGATTCACACGCATGTCCGAGACTGAAAAGGCAGCTCCACCTTCATCATCAGAATGGCATGGAAATGCTCATGGAAAATGAAGGACCCCAGTCAGGAACCAACAAACCAAGGGAAACCTGCCAGGGCCCTGAGTGTCCCGGCCTCCACACAGTTCTCTTGTGGTCCCGTTCAGGCTTTAACTGCCTGCTTTGTGCAGAGATGCTGGGACGGAAAGAGGACCTCCTCCACCACTGGAAGCACCAGCATAATTGTGAGGACCCTTCCAAACTGTGGGCTGTTTTAAATACGGTCTCCAACCAGGGAGTGATTGAACTTTCCAGTGAAGCTGAGAAATGAGACCCCAAGGCAGGCCGGGGTTAAAGAGAGAGCTCTGCCGCCACCTTCCTTCAGAGCTTCGTGCTTTATGGTGGTGCTTAGTCACAAAGATCAAACAACAGGATTGGCGTGAGTGAACAGAAATGATTTTTGTACATGGTTTTATTTTCTTATGAAATAAAATACATGTTCTCGAAACATTTTTCTAACTATATGCAGTCTTATTTTAAAATCATATGTACTGATTCTTAATATCTTAGACTTTCAGAATAAATAAAAAGATCAAAATTTGGAGATTGAAATTTAGAGGGATATAGGCTGTTCTTCAAATATAGCTCTCAGTGAAAACGTGTGTGTGTCCTTCCTTTTGTTCAGATGTTTTCTGCTTATGTAGATTGACAAATGTCAAAAATGTCCAGGCAGCAAAACCCTTTTAGTCTCAACCATAGTATCAAGTTAGATGGTAAGTGCTGATATTTATTAAATTCTCTGGTTTATTTGAATATGATATAGAGCAGTATTTTAATAAGATTGTCATCTACAATAATTTAAAATCCATGTTTTCAGGACTCAGATTTTTGTTTCTCGTAATTTTGCTATTTTCTTAAATGCACATTTCCTTGAAGATTAGTTGTTGGCAAGTCTGATAGCTGTAGTGTTCCATATCAAAATAATTTTTTAAAAAATTTAGTACTCAGCTAATAAAAAATCCACTTGCTTGGTAAAAAGTTATTTTCAACTAGTCTTTGGGGCCAGAAAATTTACAACCTGGAAAGTGAACTGAATAGTTCAGTCCAGATGTGTAGGGGTCTCAACTGCGTTCCCTCACTCCCAAGTGACTTCAGAGGGTTGTCGCCAGCTGATCAATTTTAGGTGGAACTGTGCTTTTCAAGCCCAGGTTCTCTCTGAAAGCCAGGAGTAAATGATTGCCTCTTAAATTCCTGGGAAATTACCTCAAATCAGTAAAGTTGTCATTTGAAGTTTCTGACCATCCTGGCTGCAAAATCATTTTCTTAGAAAAGTGGAGTTTCAGCACTCATCCTACTGATAATCTCAGCCTTGGATGAAAGCACCACGCATGTGGCCAGCTCAGCCCAGGCATGGTCATAATATTTTGTGCTCAAGGAAGTTGCCTAAGCCGAGAAAGAACGGAATTCTAATTGATAAGCTAGTGGATCTTACATCATCTGTTTTTAATGTCTGGTAAACATGATTTGCCTCAAATAGTAAAAGAGAAAACTAGTATTTGTCTTTTTGCAAATAGTTTTGTAAATTTGAGAATAAGAGAGTAGGGATAGAAATATCTGAAAGATTGTGTTGTGGTTTGTCAGTTGATCACGCTTTACCCAGTTTCAAATAGGGAATATCAGACCTCTACTGTTTGATAGTTTTAGAACTTTTTGGTTAATAATGAAAAGGCTTTACCATTCAAACCAGTTCCCAGTTTGTTTTTTTGAAAGACTGGTCTCAAAGACATTACCAAATGACTTCTACAAAGAATACTACTTGAATTCAAACCATGAAACTTGGAATTCAAACTATGAAATAATTCATAGATTGCTCAATCCTCAGATACGAAGTCGTATTTTAGAAATACTAGCCAGGGGCCGGGCGCGGTGGCTCAAGCCTGTAATCCCAGCACTTTGGGAGGCCGAGACGGGCGGATCACGAGGTCAGGAGATCGAGACCGTCCTGG